TTCTGAATTAATGAATTTAGAATAAAGGGGCTCCCTTCTTGTTCCGTATCTTTGTTTCTTCGTATTGATTGTTGAAGAAGTGACTTGTGGATGGAGACTTTTGAGCCTTAAGAATGCATTGGACGGGTCCATGACCTGATTACGAACTAAGGTTAGCAGTCCGTGAATGGGTTAACGAAATTCTGAATGCATAATGAGATCTATGCATAAGTTTGAATTAGGGATACTAATGAGTGAGATCGATGCATGATCAACACTTGGGTACTTCGAAAGTTATGGTAAATAAATACTTGTATTCACGACATGGAATCTACACCCTCTATTTAGGGACGAACACCCTCTTATGTATTTTTCAGTGAAAGTTTAAAGATGAACTTAACGATTTAGTAAAGCGTTTTGTTTAATTATACTTGTAACATGATCACAAGTATCCCTTAAGGTAAATGGTGTTCAAGAAAGAGTGCTATAATTGTGGGGCAAGATACTCATTTAGCATTTGACTCCATTTATGTATGTTCAAGAGGGGAAATACATTTGATAGGTGGATTTGAGGATTTAGTTGTTTCAATTACTAATTCAATAGCTTCATTACTTTCATAAAACATGCAAGTTTAATCCCATACATTTAGTAGAATGAGTCAATATTAATTATTTTTTTGTGCATGTCGAGAGAAAGGGAGATAGAAGAGAGGCCTTGCTCAAATGCTCAAGTATTTCTTCTTTCATTGTCTTGTTGCATTCTATGCAGTCTTTCTTCGACTAGAATACTGAGAAACACACAATGAATGCTTATATTGATTCTTTTTCAGATATCAAAATTAAAATTGGGTCTTTTCATCCATTTAGATTATTAAAAAATGTATTTTTTTTTATTATGTAGCAATGCATAGCAAGAATACTCCACTCCTTGACAGACAGCACTGCTTTAGGTGGGAAGTGAAGGGAATGAGCTCAATTGCTTCTCTTTACTCGTTTCCTTTTTTCTTCATGCTCATGTTGCATGTGATACTGTGTCATTTTTATAGGCTTAAGAGGATGAGAAAGATATAATCCATGTATCGGAATAATTGAGGAAGCTTTGATGGCGTGAATGATCAAGTAGATGGGTGAACACTTGTCTCTGGGATTAGGGCGTGTTCGGTAGAGATTAAAATCAGATTAAAATTGAAAAAATAGCCGTTATTGTTGACTTTTATTAGACGAGTGAGACCCAATAACGATCATATTTTCAATTTTAATTGAATTTTAATCAGAAACAAATATGAGTGAATATGAAAGGTACAAGATTGCATGATTCTTATAAAAGGGTCATTTGAAAAAATATTTAGGGCCCGTTCGGTAGGGATTAAAATCAGATTAAAATTGAAAAAATAGCCGTTATTGTTGACTTTTATTAGACGAGTGAGACCCAATAACGATCATATTTTCAATTTTAATTGAATTTTAATCAGAAACAAACAGGCTCTTATAATTGGCTGCTCTAAGCTAATGAATTGTGTTCGAGCTTACTCAGGTGTAGTGGTGATGGTTATGTCGCCTAGCCTAGTCATTCCTGGTAATGACTGATAAACTAAAACGTGTCCTAATGTCTATTCTACTATGTCCTTGTTTGAGCTCCATATCAAAAAAATTCAATTTTTCTTAAACTCGTTTTCAACCATGATAAAATAATTTACACAAATCCAAATTTTCTTGGATTTACAACTACACAATCTAAAAAAAATCACTATTATATCCCCCTTTTTTTAAAATGGAGTTCAAACTAGCTATATATAAATCTATCGTGTCAACTAATTCGGAACTGTATGACAAGTTATTTGGACAAAATAATTGGTCAGAGGGAGTGTCAATTGGGGAAGAAGTGTGGGTTCGGATGGCAATAGAGTAGGGTTGTAGGGAAGGTAATTAAAATACGGTTGTATTACATGCGATATGATGAAATATGATTGAGTAAGAATTTTTTCAACCAAATAGAAAAGAAATTCTCTACGCTCTCTTTGACGCCTCGTGTGTACATAAACTATTATGTAACTCTATTATGTACAATTAGCAATATTCATTAAAATACCTGTCGTGTCGGGATCTTTGGAAGGAATGATGGGGATAAAAATATCTCTATTTTATTGTGCTGTTGAATTAATTATTTGTTTTTAAGATATATTTATTTATTTATTTTTAAATGTGATTGAAAAATATAAAAATAAAACTAAATGAAAACAATTGGAGTCGGATAAGGGAGGGCAAATCTGTCGGAAATTTTTGCCATCTCTTCTCTGGGAGGGGTTTAGAACTTAGAAGGGAGCATGGACAGACCTTAATTTAAAGAGAATTGGTTTATAGCCCACTTTAAAACTTGGCTTTGTAAAAATTAAAAAATAAAAATAAAAATTACTTCATTAAATTGGTTGAAAAAAACTAAAAGGCACTCAAATCTAGTCCACCTTTGTTTTAGCCCCAGTATGTTGAATAAATAAATTTTGTAATACTGATTTTTTGAAAATGTGCGGTTAAAAAGTAGGAATTTTTTTTGGATTTACGTGTAAATTATGCACGCTCGAAATTGATCTCTTAAGCATCAAGTAATATAGTACACTACAATAAGTGGTGTAATCAATTTTGTGATCAACCATTATCTCTTCCCACCTATTGTAGTGTGTCATGTTATCCAAGTGATTAGGATAAATTAAGCACAGTACTTAGGAGTATGAGCTGCTCGTCTACTTGGTGGATCGGCTCATGAGAGCCCAGCCATTAGATAGTTTAGCTCATTCCATTACGAGTCCTTAGGTCGCGTCAATCTTGAAAAGTAAAGTTGTGTGCTTCACAAACTGACCTATATGAATTTCCTTTTTTATATGAAAAAAATTCATAAATAAGGTGTATTCTTTACACCAATTCAAAAATAAGGTTTATAGTTTGAAAATTCAAAAATCAGGTTTTTTTTTTGAATTCTAATATAATATAATATAATAAACCCACCTCACATGCACCACCTCCTGCTCCGATGACTATTCTAACGACCATTCCGACCACCACTCTTCTACGGCGACTATTCCAACGACTGTTCCGATTCCGGCGACCATTCCGACGAGGTCACAGATTTTTAAAGAGTCACGTATTATTATAGTCACCGGTCACATTTTGGTCACAGATTTACAATTTAGTTAGTCACATATTATTTTTCAGTCACGGATAATAATTTTTATACGTCACATATTATTTTACGGTCACAGTTCAAAAATTTTGTAGGTCACAATTATTTAGTTGGTCATATATCAAGATTTATAGGTCACATGGTCACATATCAAAATTTATAGGTCATGCGGTCACATATTTCAAAAACTGGTTGGTTATAAATTATTTTTGAGTCACATATTACTAAATTTTTAGGTCACAGTTGAGTAATCAGTCACAGATTACCAAATATTTGGTCACATACCCTCAAATACTTGGTTACATAACCAAGTAATTGGTCACATAT